AGAATATTCCTTTCGTGTTCCTGTTTTACATGTTATAGTACATAGTTCGATTAATGGCACACGTCATTACGTCCCACGTGACGCCATACGACGTCCCCTCTGGAATTTCACGTATAAACATATAGTTTGTCTTCGTGATAATGCCATGTACAGTTTTGGGTGTTTCATTTTTAATTTTATGAAAGCTTCAAGTGCAGTTAATTATTTGTACATGCATACAGACGACGGTGGGCGTTGAAGCTCTTTTATTTTCCGTCAAACGGTTGAGCACTGCTGTGTGTGTATCCTGTCGCAAAATGTGGCGAAAAGTCCTACACGATGCTAATAATGTGATTAAGGTGTTTACATGTATATTCTGCACTTCAGTAATGCGACTAAAATAGGAATACTCCACATGTCTTAATTCGATTTCTGTTTAATTCGAATATGACTTTAGCCGGATTAAGGTAATCAAAAATCTCTGTTTACATGGTAGATTCTTAATCAGAGTATTGTCTTAATCGTGTTAAAATCGGATTATTGTTGTCCATGTAATCGTACTCAGCATGCTTTTACAAGAGATGAGACACTACAGACAGAGAAACACTGTTTCAAACATACACTGACTGTCAAAGGGCCTCTGTAACAATCAAGAGAGCTGAAAAGTTCAGCTTAACTAAACAGAAGAAGAAGAGGTCAGACAGAGATAGTTAACTTACAGAAGAACATAAAAAACACAATACCTGTATGTAAGAGAAAAACACTCTACCACCTTTAATAGGTAGGGTGAGGCTAAAGGATTAATAACTATCTTTAATGCTGTTATAACTTATTGTAGAGAATAAAATGGTATTGTACAGTAGACTACAGAAGCAGTACAGAAGAGCAGAGTATTTTTCTTCCTGGTACAACTATCTAAACATCCTTAATACAAGATGGATTCATATAATATCACTTGAATTGGCTGACTCCGTTGAATATATCTCTCTAATTTCTTTTCTTGTTTTAAGCATAGACTTGACAAAATATAGTGAGGTTTATGCTTAAAAAAGAAACTAAAAAAGCGAGGAGAAGAGGCAGAGTGTAACAGTTCAGTTATAGCATATACAGTACATATACAGTACTGTATATTATATACAGTTACAGTAGAGTTTTAATACAGCACTTGGTTTAACTTAATTGAGTCTCATTATGTAAAGCAGGATTTCCAACCAGGCATCACATCTATCCACCTCAGGAGGTTTCAAAGATTGTGATAAAGATTAAAAAATAAATAAAAGACTAATGAACATTAAAAATGTATTTTAAAATAAAATTTATTTTACATCTATTTATCATCGCACTTATATGAAAGTTTAGAACATGTCAGGGCACTTCAAAATAGAAACATCTGATCATAGCTCACAAAATATTGGGAACCCCTGGTAATGTAGATATTCAGAATTTGATTCAAAATGATGACACTGTGAACAGTTAGCTCGGCCACTGTGTTAGAGAGAGACGCTCTTTCATTAGCTGATGACTTGTCCAACCACATACACCAGATCACATGTATCTGGATGGTCTCTGGCCTTCCACACACAGACGGCAGACTTCATCAACATATCATTCAAACAGACTTGCACAAGCATACACGAATATCATACTAAACCAACACACGTCAATACAGCATTCAGCTCACATCGCCATACACTCAAACATCTCTGACATTTCCTCTCTCTGTGTCTGCTCCTGTGAGACAGCAGATGCGTCGTAAACAGCGAGGGCCGACTTACGTTTCGGGGAACTCCACCGGCTTACTCTTGATCTTACTGTGAAGTGCCAGTATGTACTCATCAATAAATGGGCACTGGAGGACAAGGAAGAAAAACAGAGGAGAGGGAGAGGAGGGAGATGGATGAGTGATCAAAATCATCAATCACACAAATGTCACTGCAGTAGCACACAGTCCCATTCATTGATCATTCTGATATTGAATTACTGCTATCACTCTGATCATATCAGCACATGAGCTGACTCACCTTTCCATACACAAAACAGTAGAGGGTCACTCCCATAGCCCACACATCCAGAGCCTGAAGAAAACACAACTTCTGTTTTAGTGATGCAGGAGAATTCTACAGCTTGGAGCTATTGAAATTAATGGAATTTCCTTAAAGGGACAGTTCAATCAAATGTACATTCTGTTATAATTTATTTACTCCCATGATGCACCAAACTTCTATGCCTTTCTTCTTTGTAATGTTAAACAGAATATTTTAAAGAACAAATTGGTTGCTCTTTGTCATCTGACTGCAATGGCAAATGAAACTGGTTAACAAAATCTTCAGCACCGTACGTACACTACCTTTCGAAAGTGAGGGGTCCGTAATTTTTTTAAAGACTTTTATTCAGTATAGACACATTAAATTGATCAAAAGTGACAGCAAAGACATTTATTAAGTTACAAAAAAAAAAAGCTCTTATTTTGAACTTTCTATTCATCAAAACATTCGGATTTTTTTTAAACATTTATAAAAAATAAGAAATGTTTCATTAGCACCAAATGAGCATATCAGAATGATTTCTGAAGAACCACGTGCCACTGAAGACTGGAGTAATGTCTGCTGAAAATTCAACTTTGCCATCACAGGAATAAATTACATTTTAAAATATTTAAAATAGAAAACAGTTATTTTAAATTTTAATAATATTTCACAATATTACTGTTTTTACTGTATGTTGATAAAATAAATCCAGCCTTGGTCAGAATAAAATACTTTTTATTCTCTACCCCAAACTTTTGAACCGTTGTGTAGCTCTATGACACATGAGTCCATGAGAGAAACAGCAAAGTCCCATTCATAAACAAAATTCTTATTTAAGCCAATTTTAAAGGTGCTGTACGTAATGTTTTGATTGTACTAAAGCATAAAAACACAATAATACTTTTGCAGATATTCAGAACACATGCTAAGTTCACATAGTTGTTTTTCCGAAAAACAAAGCCAATAATACAATTTAAATAAGGACAGTTTAACCAATAATATTTCGACAGCCTGGGTTGACAGTTTGCAAAAAACACAGCATACTGCTGCCATGGAAGTGAGCAAATGAACTGGGTCTGAGGTTGCAGATCTCTAACTGACCTAAAAGCTCTATGACCACAGGCACATTTAAACGCAGATAAATCAACTCATCAGTTTACAGTCTAAGGTTTGTCGCCTTCCATTGTCAGTTGCACTCGTTCCTGTCACATGTCATGAATCTGACAACTTGTTGGAGCATCACTTCTGAGGAGGAGGGGGCGGAAAGACAATATTTTGAATTTGGACTGCAGTACCAATCTCAACCGCTAGCTGTCAATATTACATACTGCACCTTTAAGCCTAATCAGTCTGAATGATTGGCCTATCACAACACATATCAGAAAAAAATCACCCCAGACACACATTACCTTTCCACTAAAGCTCTTGCGGTTGTCTGACAGCGTCTCTGGGGCCATGAAGGCAGGAGTACCAGCAGTGCTGGAGAGCAAGGCATCATTACCCTCAAACTGGTTACTGACCCCAAAATCTGCGATCTTGACATGACCATCATCTCCAAGTAATAAATTTGATGGTTTGATATCTCTGTGAACGATCTTCTGATAGTGCACTGAGCAAAGAGAGAGAGAATATAAAGTGTTATAAAATGAAAATGTATGTTATATGGGTATATCATCAAAAAGAATTATAGAACAATGAGCCATTTCAAAAGTGCAGTTTGCTGACAATTAGCTTTAAATCTCAGAATTTACAAAACAAATGTTATATTTAAACGAAGGTTCATGTGAGGATCAATCTTCTCATTGCAACACCAGAATACTGTATTGTATGTTTCATCTATGATTAATTGTGATCACCTGGCCTAGCAGGAAATCAGAAAAAATTTACTGTGTTTTGGATGTTTAATGATATTAAAGTTTAATAAAGTTACTAAGTTGAGCACAGCCAGTGAAGAGGAGGTACAAAATCAAGTGTGTCTGACAGCAGGAGCTCTCAGCTTAACTACAGAACCGCAGACAGGTTCAAGAAGGTCACTCTGGGCCGTGCACACAGAAGATGAACTTGATTGGTTAATAGATGCTTTCCTGTCTCAAGTGGTCAATCAAAGATAACCTGCCCATCACTTATCATCTTTCAGTCATCTGCAATTACTGGTTATATGTGACAAGAGCCATGTCTCAGACATCTTCAGATGACACGCATGGTAATGAAAAAAGAAAATTAATAAAGGAACAAAGACGTGTTCAAAATATTAGCAGGTTATTGCATATAATTATTTCATCAAAGTCAGCAAGCAAGGTGAATGTGACACATGGAGTATGCCACAGTTCATGTAAGGAGTCTCTCAAGGCCTGCAAAGTGAAGGAGTATGACACACACACACACACACACACATTTCTTAGATTACTATTAATTAATTCTATTGACATGGCTCCCTGAGGTAACTAGCATAGTGCTAATGAAATGAATGGAATATGGACACATACTCTGATTCCAGTCTACGAATTACCGACACACACACAAAGAAGTTCATTGTTAACACAGACTGATTTGTGGCGAATCATGCAAATGGCCTGTTGCCACAGCGAGTGTCGCCTGGTTAATAAGATTCAAATGAATTGATGAAAGCTGAGTTTCCACACGATGAACAGAACAGACACTTGGTAATCAACTTTTTGTTTAAACTACTATCTTGTTTAAAGGCTCAGTACAATTTAAGCTCAGTCAACATATATGTTGATCATAATAAAAAAGTTATTTAGACTTGTCCCTTGTTTTCTTTCAAAAAAGCAAAAATCTATGTCATGATGATACTAACAATGGAAGTGAATAGAGACAATTTTTCAAGGATTTCTTTGCAAATGCCTCAATGTAACCCAGATTTAGTTTTTTTAAGAAACAAGTAACAATTAAAGGGATAGTTCATCTAAACTTAAGGCCCTTTCGCACCGCTTTAGTTCCAGAACTAAACGTACGATACTAAAGTACTGGGACGATTTTGTGCGAACTATTTTCCAGTACCATTTAAAAGGTTGCATTCGCACCGAGAGTATGTACTAAGAAGTGACGTAATCTGGTCGACAGCGACGTCATTTGTGCACAGCGTTCAACAACAGAAACAAAGAAGAACGTTAACAACAGGAGGATGGAGGACGCTGTGATCAGAGCTGTGTTTTTGTTGCGTCTCGCGGGTTTCACAATAATGGACATGGAATGTCGACGTATACGTAAAGCGATTGAAAGAACGGAAAGGAGGACTAAGAATCTCCAATGACAACTGGCAGTGCTACATTTGCTTCATGAGCCTGCACTTCAGCGTCCGTCCATCTATCGCTGTTCTCCAGACTTGCAAAATAAGTTGACATGCTTACAGTATGTTTACACAGCGTTTTAAATCATGGCGGGTGAGGGCGTTTTCATACGCGTTTGGCCAATCAATGTCTACTTACGTCACGATTAGTACCAGTTGTGCTGGTTAGACCCTGCTCCGGAGTAGGAGCTAATTTGGTTATCGAAAAAGGCAGTCCGGTACTAAAATCGCTCCCAGTTCCGGCGGTGCGAACACACCGAAAAGTGGGTAGTTCCACAATTAGTTCTGGTACTATGAAAAGGTTCCTGCGGTGCGAAAGGCCCTATAAACATTCAGGCATTCACTCACCCCCATGTCCTTCCAAACCTATGATATTCGTTCTTCCGTAGAACATAAAAGAAGACATTTTGAGTGTTTTTTTATACACAATGGAAGGCAATGGGTCTCGAAAATGTTTGGTTACAAACAATCTTAAGAATATCTCCTTTTGTGTTCCACCGAAGAAGGAAAGTCATACTGATCTGGAAAGACAAGAGGGTGTATAAAAGATGACAGAATTTTAATTCTTGGGTGAACTACCGCTTAAATTTTTGTGGTGACATTATGCAACAAATGCTGTCGATTGAGCTTAACTTTTACTGCACCCAGAATATTCCTTTAACCGTCAGCATGTAATTATTGAAATGTTGCAACATAAAATCTAATTTCTTCTTTTGACAGATGAGAGAAGATCAGAACGCCTTTTAGAAATAGCACAGACTTGTTTTCATCAGGATTCGATGACCTCCCCCACGCACAAATACATGAGCGCACTGCCACATTCGCTCACTTCATTAGACGAAAAGGATGCCATGATGCGTTAGAACAACAAACACAGAGCTGTTCCTTGAGACAGAACTCGCTTGGGTCTTTATTTTTACATAAGTAATGATTAATGTCAGGCGCTCATCTGTAAGAGTTTGCTTCGCTCTTCTCTACTGGGATTTATTTAACTTCAGACACTCTGTTACAAAGTCCATGTCAAAGTGGTCTCCTTTAAAACTAAAAATGGAACCCAGTGAGGTCAACCCAGCAATTTGAAAATGTTTTTTAAAATAAAGGAAATGACTCACAGTACTCGATGCCCAAAACAATGTCTCTGAAGTAGTGGCGGGCCTGGTCCTCACTGAACGGATTGTCGCTGGGGACCTCCATCACAGGGCTGGTGAGCAATGGAGACACTTTATTGTAAGTTAACTGATAAAGTACACAAAAAAATGCAGGGCTGTTTCAACCCAACTTTGGGTCAAACATGGACTAACCCAACTTTTGAGTTAAAAATTTAATGTAAAAATTTAGCCCAACAGCTGGGCTAGTCCATATTTGACCCACAGTTGTGTTGAAACAACCCAGCATTTTTTAGAGTGTACTAATAAAAGACCGTAATAGACAGCAATGATTCATGAAGAGAAATACTGAATGAAATAAGTGGAGAGACTTTTGATACAATAAACAACTGAGGATCACACACTACCAGCCTTTCAAGTCATTACAAACTCACACAGAGACATGTGTCCTTGTTGCTAAGAGATGCATGACAACTGAAAACAGTATGTGTTATAAAATCGGCTCAAAATATCAAACATGTTTGATTTCCTCCGATTAGATGGAATCATAGTCTAAAGCTAAAAAATCTGTGTCTGTGACCATCATTCATAACGTAATTTTATATTATAATATTGTATCTGTTATTTTATTTTTACCCAATGGGAGTCAATAGCAGACCTATAAAAAGAATATAGGAAAATTATGAAATTTGGCACACTTGTAGTGATGATCAAGAAATAGTGGACCACAGGACCAACTCTATAGCACCACCACCAGTTAAAAAATTGACTTTTGATTGTTATAACTTAAAATTGGCAGAGATGATCTTTAGTCTGATGCACATAGAAATGACTGAACAGAATTGTATGTCCTACTGGTGAAAAAAGAGTTATGAAGCTGTAAACAACAATGTTGACCCAAAATCGGTTCAGAGGGTGTATCTCGGCCAAATTTTGATAAATCGAAATGAAACTTTCGATTTTTTGTTTCATCATAACAATGGCAACACCTATGGATCATGAGATACAAAAAAAAGCTATTTTTGCTAATAATTTTTGAACTGTTAGTCAGAAAATTATGATATTTGTGTCTATGGATTCCTTGGGTAATGTCGAATCTGTAGATGTCGATCAGACAAACCACATGTCCGCCATTTTGAAATTTGTCATAAATTGCAATAACTTTTGAACTAACTGACATATCTAAAATTAGTAGGAATCATTGACAGCATGTCCCGCAGGTACCAGAGCAATTTGAACACAGCGCCACCTACCATTCCAGAGATATAAAGATATTTGCAAAAATGCTTATAACTTTTGAAAACATTGTCCAAATTTTGTTATTTTTGAATCCTTTCATTCCGTGGATTATGATGATTCTGACGATATCTCATTGATCATTTTCCATTAATGTGCCTGTCCGCCATAATGAAGTAAATGAAAAACAGTTTTTTCACTGGTCCTCCTACAAATTTTGTCCAAAATCGGATCAGATGATCTTTGGACTGAGCCACACAGAAAGAACTGAACAGATTTTTGATATTCGCTACAGTTCCCGAGAAATACCTCTCCGAATTAGACCATGCCTGTGTTTGTTGACTTATGCAAGTTAGCTTAGCATGCTAATTGGTTAACATGCTAACAGGTTGCCATTCTTTTTAATGTGGCTGTTCAGCTATCAAGTTAACCATAAGCTACGTTAGCGTTAAGTTAGCTTTGCATGCTAATCTAGTTAACGTGCTATGGAATTTTTTTGTGAGCTCATTCTCGCACTGAAACCTCTCCTCAGCAACCTCTCCTTAGACGATTAAATACGACATTCAGAGTATTTATGTACAAATGTATTATTTTGAATTGATACTCAGCTTAACTTCTGAACTTCAACATCTGTGTGAACACCCATCTTCCCAGTGGCACAACAAGATGGGTGACAGGCACTTGACCTAGAGATTCTCGTGTGGTGCAACTTTATGAAATTGTGTGTAATGTTGTCATTTTGATTAGTTTATTATCCAGATCAGCAGTGTACTAATCTGTATTCCTCTAGGATTAGAAATAAATGTTTTTATTTATGCTGTGTCCATTTTCATTTGAACTTCTGTTCATGCTTACCTACAATTCTGAACCGGATGTTTTCCATGTTCATTCAATTTCTGCTGTTTTTGCTCTTCCTGCTCTGCACAGCGCTACAGCCCCTTCAGAGGCTTGGCCCCGTATCGCTGCTTGCAGCTATATTTTTTAATGAAACTGGTTAACTTTTGGCAACTAGTGTCAACTTCCCCAGACTGTAAATCAGCATAAAAATCTGGGTTGTGTAGTGTGTATTCCAGCCTTTAGTGACCTATTTAAATCAGCAGAATTCCAAATGTTTGCAAGACATATGTGAGAATGCAGCACTGGGCAAGTGAGCCCTGTGATTGTGAGACATCAGCAAGAGAACAAAGGATGCTGGGAAACTACAGGGCTGCACACACAGTGGATAGAATCCTTCAAATGAACTGTGACTGTGAGATTTACATAAAAACCAATCACAAAAACCACTTAGCACAAAACAGGGTCCTCAAAGGCCATTTCATTCATTACCCACAGGCAGTGAATCACGATTGAGCCGAAAGGCCAAACATATTCAACCAGGTCTAGAGAAAATAGACCCTTCTGTAATTATGCAAAGAAAGTTCTAATCTGCTCTTTTCAAGGCAGAAGCCCACAAACAACATTTCTTTCCAAAACAAAGCCAGGCCACTTGGCAAATACTCATATTCCACCAAAGCAAAATGTAACATTTGAAAAAAAAAAAAAAAGTCTTATAATAAACTGGAAGACTGCGGCCCTTTAAATGATCTTTTTATGGATTTAGAAACACAGAAAAAGCAACAGAATAAATAAAACTACAAGTACCAGAAGGAATACTGAAAAGATTAACTGCAATTATTTTATATGCAGTGAGAAAAATGTCTATTCAGTAACAAAAAAAACAAAAAACAAAAACAAAGCAAAAGAACTGATTTAGAAAAAGAAGTGAACAAGAGACTGAGTGAGAAAGTGAGAACATAACTATTTAATTAATCCCTTTGGAACAAGGGAGGAAAACAGGGGAAACTGAGTGAGATCTAAGTGATGACAGATATATGGGACAAGACAGTCGATGAAGAAGGGAAAAAGTGATTAATAGAACGATAGAGGATGGAAGAAAGTGTGGCGAAAGCATCAATTATGCACAAAAGAGGTCTAAGTGGACACACAGAATACTCACCCTTTCTGCATCAGCTCAAACACTGCGGAAAGACCATAGAGAAAGAGAGTCATTAAAGCAAAATGAGAGTGAAAAGATATTATTGATAAATTCATTATTCAGTGCACTTTATGAAATGAAATGTGATGTTCACAGTCCTCATATAGTATGTCATATCCTTAAATGACCCCGCTCTTTTTCACACATAAGTATGATGTGTGCTTTTATTCACACCATTGCACAGTGGTGTGAAGTCATTTAGGATTGTGTAGCAGTCCATCAGCACAAACACCTTATATTCACTGCTACAGTGTAAGTCAGAGCAGCCAACTACATTTGTCATACGTATGACACACTTATTCTACAGATTCTCCCTTCAGCCATTCACTTCACACAGGCTGCACAGTTTGATCTGTTTGAAACACGCCACTGTCTACTTTTCATGAAAAAGTAAAGTTTTTTAATGGTAAACTTCATACTGACAAAAGTTTTGCAGCGACAAAGTGCACAGAGGTCATTCATTTTCAATGAGAGTTGGTGATCTGAGATGATATGAGTGACACTGATCTGACAAAAGTGAAGAGTTTCATTTTATGCAAAAGAGCAGTGATGTGATGAGGCTAGCGATGGGAGTAAACAGCTGAATACTGCAACCAATGAACACATCTTTAGAAAAAAGAGTTAAGCATGCATGATGTGTAAATATAGGTTTAATGTTAATGATTAAAATACTAATAGAATAGCAAAAAGGTTGGGGTCAGTAAGATCTAGATATTTTTTTATATATTTAAGTCTCTTATACTATTATACTGTAAAAACTGCAATATTGTGAACTATTACTACAACTTAAAATAGATGTTTTGTATTTTAATATATTTTTTAATTATTCCTATGACCGCAATGTTGAATTATCAGCAGCCATTACTCTAGTCTTCAGTGTCACGTGATCCTTCAGAAATCATTCTAATATGGTGAAGTGGTGCTCAAAAAACATTTCTTACTATTATCAATGTTGAAAACAGTTGTGGTACAACGGTGATAAAAAATGTTCTCAGGATTCTTTGATTAATAAAAAAAGAACAGTATTTATTTGAGATAGAAATCTTTTGTAACAAAGGTTTGTACTGTCACTTTTGACCAGTTTTAATGTGCATTGACCCTAAACCTTTGTAAACTGTAGTGTAATTAGTTGAACAACACAATGGGTCTAATGTATATTTCAGACTGAGCATGCACAGCTTTGACACAATCACAACTGGTCTAGCATTAGCTACTGTGAAAACGCCATCATTTGCTGAATCTTTGACACGTAGGTGGCATTTTACCACTAAAATTATACTTAAAAAAAAGAACATACCCATGTGAAGGTTGTCCTCCGCTGGATCATCCAGCACCTGAAATAGAAACTTTATTAAAAACACCACCTGCTTCAGGCACTGTATGATATTCTGTCCAGGTTTCTACGTCTAGGAAACTCTCTAACACCCATTAGTAGGTCCAGAGCAAATCTGACTTGAGTTGATCTTTTTTTACATTTATTTTCTTCACTGATTTTATTGGGAAAATCTGTGGAATTATTAAAAATGCTCAAATGTGTTATATATATACATATATATATATATATATATATATATATATATATATATAACACAACTGTTATTAATAACTGAAAGCTATTGTAGAATTTTGTGAATTAAATTAAATTCGCCCAAGTTCAGCAGACACAGATTCAGTGTGAGGCCCTGTCCACACGAACGCGGTTATTTTTAAAACCGCAGCTTTTTCTACACAGTTAGGCCACACCAGGTCACCGAAACCGAACATTTTTTAAAACGCCTGCCAGGGTGAAGATTTCCAAAAACTCTGGTTGCAGTGTTATCGTGTAGACAGCGAAACTGGAGTTTTTGGCTTGTGAGTTTGGCGCCTGCGCTGTTATCGCCGCCTACTGGAGACTTTTTCAGGCTTCTGATTGGTCAACATGGCTTTACGGTTGAGATTATATCGCCACCTGTTGGTTTGGCATGCTCTTGACAGTGCTTCATAGCATGTGTTTGCGTTTTCATATGGACAAAGATTTTTTTTTAAAACGGAAGAAGTAAAAACTCCGTTTATAAAAATACCTGTGTACGTGTGGACATAACCTGAGTCTACCCATTACTACACGCCATATGGGATTTCAACATCAAAAAATAAGGGCATCTACAGCAGCAAACATTACAGAGGAGCTTTGTAGGGAAATGCTTTAACAACTACAGTATTAGGCAGAGAAAAACCTCAGACTGTCCAACAATACATATGAGAGACAACATTTTCAAAGACCATGTTTGATTATTTCCTTAGCTTGCTCAGCTATAAGGCTGTGTGTGCAAATATAATGTGATGGGAAAAAAAATAAAAAACACTTAAAATGCTGAAGCGTATATCACTCTACACCACTGCTTGTTGGAAAAATTTGCTTGTTTCTGGACAAGCTAGATGGAAAAGTAACACTTAATTTAAAATAAATAAATAAACAGCTGGCACAGCGCTGCTACATTTAGTTTTACACTGCGGAAGAGATTTTATATGCATCAAGTGCTTCATCCTTCACTGCCAGCAGAGCACCATTTCTGTGTTGCTCCTAATGGCCACACACTCCTGCATTAAGACTATACTTGGGCCGGCAGTAGGTGATTGGAGTGTAGGCGGTTCCTCTGCCTCACTTTCTACGTTTTCTTTAAACATTTTTCATGCTCTGATTCAATTTCTATCTCACATGCACTCTCTCACCCCTCTTTTCTAATTTTGCTGATGTGCATGGGTGCTGCTGTGATTGAAGAGCACTCAGACGGAACCACAGGGGGAGAGAAGGAAAGGCCTTCAGCATCCCTCCATTCTACCTTCCTTTTCTTCATCCTGAGATCGATCGCACTCCTCTCCACATCCCATTCTCAGGAGCATTATACGTGTCTCTGTTCAACAGATTTACTCCTAGCTGATTTTCAATGTTGCTATTATTTTGTCCCCTCTTTGGCACAAATTACATAATGACACATGACTAGTCCAAAATATAGCTTGGTTATTGAGCTGTTAGTGCAGTTGAGTTCAATTCCTTCCAAATTTCATCTCTCTGTGTTTTTGTTATTTTATTATTAACTATATCATTTTTTTTATCACACCTGGCTTTTCCTGAGACCCAGTGTCTTTACAAATAACTACAGCAGAAAATATGATGTAAACAACATTTAATTATGGGTAAACAAATAATAACACATGTAGAAGGAAGGCTTTTCTGAAGCAAATAAGTTAGTTTGTTCATTTGTTTGTTTATTCTGATGGATATTCAAAAGGGAATTTTGTTTGTTCATTTATTAATTGAGAAGAAAGTTTATTCAGTATGAAGGAAGAAAGGGATTCTGCGTTTGTTCGTGGTAAAGAATGGAAGAAAGGAAGGATGGAAGTTTTAAAGCACGTTTCTTCAGAAGGAAATAAGTTTGTTGAGAAGAAAGGAAGCTGTTTCATTAAGAAAGAATCAAGAAAAGAAAGTAAGTTTGCATTGAAGCTTGCATGGAAGGAAGAAAGGAAAGAAGGAAGGACATTCAAAGGAAAAACGTTTATTTAATAAGAAGTTTGTTCGGAAGGAAGAAAAGAACATTTAGAAGAAAAGAACAGAAGTTTGTTTATTATTATTTTCACTATTATTTAGCAGAAGTTCATTAACAGTGGATTACATGAATGAATGAATATGGCCACAATCCTTACCTCAACCAGTTTAACTATGTTGAGGTGGTCCAGTTTTTTCAGGATAGCTATCTCCTGGTAAACTCTCTCCAGAGGACCAAGCACTTTGGGCTGCTCCCCCTGGGCTGCTTTAGGACCTCGGGGAGGAGGGCGGCCTGCAAAGTGAAAGAAAAAAAGCAACTAAGAATGCTGCTTCATTTAAATATGGAATTCTTCAGCTGGTTTAGAGGACTGCCTCAACATCTGCCTCACAGGACAACATCTGCTGTGCATAACATCTGCATACATCTTGTTTAAAAATTAGATCTTAATTTAAATGCCATACATACGGGGAAAACCGTACTGTTTCATCAGCTTCTTCTTAGACGCCACTTTCATTGCCTACAAAACAAGTAAGATACAGATGAAAAGAGTCAATCAGACAATCTTGCCAACACTAAGCTCTGAACTACAGTATTCTACACAGGTGATTGAGGTGATCTCAAACACACATTTCCATCGAGTCTAGTGGGTGACATAATCAACTGACTTTTTTCCATTTGCATACTAATCAAACAAAGCTTTCACAGGGTTCAATCAACTGTGGCCCTCTCGTTCGCTTCTGGCCTTGATGGGGCACTCGAGATTCCTCTCACAGCAGTGCTCCTGCGTAGGTGATTGCTAAAGTGAATGTGGAAATTTGGTCACAAACAGTGAGACACACTATAAGAAGCAAGCAGACCAAAGTGCTTGTGGTTTGTAAATCAACTTGGGCTTTTCTAAAGAAAAGAAACAAATAGGTTGAGCACGTTCAACCGCTGATGCTTGGAAGTAATCTTTGTATCTGGTCTTTGTAAGCAATTAAAATCTTAATCAAATCAATTGCTTTTGGCACACAGAACTGGGCTTTTACAATCTATACTTCATGGGAAACACATATTGAGTCATCTGTTTCTTTTTACAATGGAAGATGTCCATTATTGAAGAATTGTGCACCTGTGTCTTTTCTCCTCGGACGAAAGGCACAGAGATGTACACGGTGCGCAAATAGAAAATATGGAGACTTATGTAAACGTGGTAAGTGCTCTCTCAATCTCTGCCACTCTGCTCATTACAGTCAGAAAATGGCAATACAACAGGCTGCCAGTTTCTAACACCTGTGGAAAACATGAGGTTTCATAATGAGTGAGTTATGGACAATTTCAAAATTCATCTGAAAGTTGATTCATCAAAGTTCTTCATGACACAGTTTCACATATTGTCATGGAAAGGATCCAAAGTTTAGCTGAAGCACTTGTTGAAACCCTGTGGTCTTTGTCCTTCATTTTTCATGCTATAAAATCCAATATCTCCGAATAATAAATGTTCGAAACATACAGCTACAATAAAAATGGCCGTTCATCTTAAAAATGAAAGTACGCAACTTTAGACGTGAATCCATAAGTTAGCAAAAAGAAAGAGTGCTTTTCTCCTCCCTCTCAAGGACAGCTGGGTGAGGTTGCATCTGTTGTGCTGACGAGTTTAAATAACTCATTTCATCATAGAGGAAACCATGAATGGTTTATGAACATGTTAGAGGTGAGCACGATGAAAGAAAATTGCTATTTAGAATGCAGCAGGGACTGAAAGATCTGAAGCATCAGAATGTAAACGACTGGGAAATGATGGGATGAATCAGCAAGTAAGCAATGCATAAATACAGTTTGCTGTCGGAGGTGATGGATCTATATTTACTTTAAACTATGAAAAATACAGTGGGGTCAATAAGTGAAAATGCCTCTATTTTGCAATATTAAATAATTATATATATATATAGCTTTTCTACTCGCTACTTTTCTGTTGTTCCTTTTTTGCTAATGCTTAAGGCTACACGTATTTGATCAAAAATACAGTAAAAACAGTAATATTGTGACATATTGCAACAATTAAAAATAGCTGTTTTCTATTCTTATATATTTTAAAATGTAATTTATTCCTGTGATGACAACGCTAAACTTTCAGGAGCCATTATTCCAGTCTTCAGTGTCACATGATCTTTTAGAAATACTTCTAATATGATGAGGAGAGCAAGGAACATTTCTAGAAATATAACATTACTATCAATGTCATTATATTATAAATTACATTGTAATTAACCATATTAACCATACATTGTATATTGTACCATAAATAAAACAATCAAGACAATAATGCAACATTATATTATATTATTATAATATTATTCAAAGGTTTGTTTTCTACAGCAAAACCCATATTGCTTTCATAAATTGAGTTTGAATGACAAGAAAATATCAAAATGAATGGTTTCTGAAAATCATATTTCAACTACGGTGGAAAAAGAGTGAAAGAAAATGGTCAGATGTTGCAAAGAGGAGAACGATTACAGAAAAATGAAGAACAAGACATAATTTCAGGATTCATTCTACCTGTAAAGTAAAAAAGAGATACTGTAGGTTTGTGAGGCCAGTGGAGTGTAAAGGCCAGAGACGGGGCAGCCTCACTCTACTCTGCCTTTATGAAAGGATTTGATCTCTGTCCTCTATTTAACCTTGCTATTAAATATCCACACAGCATGAATTAATGAATGCAGATAGGAACTGGGAGCTATATTTTGCTTTCAGACACACTGTCTGTTATGACAGATGATTATGAGGAGGAGAGGAAAATATTCAAATGTGATCAGGAGACCTGCAAAAAGACGAAATACAAACAAGGGAGAAAAATAGCATTATTAGGTACACCTAATACCAAATAAAATGCCCTTTATATACTGATAAATGACGTCATGTTGTATTTTGATCCTACTATGTGAATTCTTCAGAAAAAACAATAATTTTTTTTCCCCACTGTTGAGCCATCCAGTTTACAGCTCATATATATAGTCCATCAGAAGAGGATCCGGCAACAGCCTTCTGCTGTTGAAAGCCCATTCTCTTCAAGGTTATGATTTCAGCTGTGCCTTTCTCATGTTGTGAGAAGTGCTAGTTTGAGTGTTTGTGGCCTTTTTCTCAGCATGAAGGAGTCTGACCAATCTCATCTAACCTCTCTCATTTATAAAGTGTTTTCATCCAGTGAATAGGCTCTCAATAGATGTGATTTTCTTTAGCACTACTCGTTCATTCTGGAGATAGCAGTGCACACAAGAGTCTGTCCATCCGACATATCAGAGACTCTGAAAGCACCCTGTCTAGCACCAACAACATGTCAATCAAAGTCTTTTACACCGTGTGTCCCTTATTTAGCATCTAAACTTTTTGAGCATATTTACATCCTTTACACACATTCCATATAGTCTCTCCATTAAAGGAATAGTTCACTCAAAAATGAAAATGTTGCTGAATATTTACTCACCCTCCAACCATCCAAGATGTAGATGTTTTTTTAATTATTATTATTGGAACAGATTTGGAGAAATTTATCATTGCATCCCTTGCTCACCAATGGATCCTCTGTGGTGAATGGGTGTCATCAGAATGAGACAAACAACTCATAATAACAATCCACAAGGAATCAAAGGACTCCAGTCCATTAATTAACATCTTGTGAAGTGAAAAGCTGTGAGTTTCCTCATTAGTCTGTTCCCCTTTCGGGCTTGAACTGATGGTAAAACTAATGACATTATTTACTGTCTTTACATATATTTTGAAAGATGAAGCTCCTACGAGTGCTTGTGGTGTTCGGCCAATCACAATGCACTGGGTCAGCTGGCCAATCAGAGCAGACTGCGCTTGTCGGAAGGAGGAACTTTGTAGAAAACGAAGCGTTTGAGAGAGGCGGGGCATAGAGGACCTACAATAATGTACAGTATTTGAAAAATAATGTGCTTTTTGAATATTAAAGCATGTCAACATATTCTGTTACACCAAATACACAAAACAATGATCTTTAGAAAAGCATCATATGACCCCTTTAATACAAGTGATGTAATGCTAAATTTCTCCTAATCTGTTCTGATAAGGAAAAAAAACTCATCTTGGAAGGCCTGCGCGTGAGTACATTTTCAGCAAAATTTCACTTTTGGGTGAACTATTCCTTTAATATGAGCTTATAAAAAATACAAAATCAAAATACAATTAAAAAATGCTGAGTAAAGTACTTTTATGTCACACTGCAAGACATTTCAAGGTATTTAGCTATTCTGACACATTGTTTCCAACTGTTATGCTCCCATATGCCACCTCCATACACACAGATCAACACAGCTTTAACTTATTTTATGCTCATTAATGCTGAAAATCTCACTTTCTGTCATGTACCTCATCTTGAAAAGCTTGAAAAATATCTTATTTACTTCCTGTGGGGACCTGATTAGCACATTTGGAAACTAATAATTCCTACTGTAGGGCTAGGTGACAAAATATAACTTATATAATATATATATAGTATTTACATTTTATTCCTGTCCATATTGTTTATTTTGATGTTTCTGCATTTCAATTCACAATGAGGATCACACCGCAGAACAATTTCCATGTTTTGCTTACAAAAATGCTAAAAAAACATTAAATGTAAACTTGAACAGAACCTTTTATGCTTGTGTTCTTTGCGGTCCAACTAATGTATAAAGAATAAGAGAAAAATGATGAAATAAGGCATTTTTCTCTGAGGACAGTAAAATGACATCTTCCTGTATGTCTATTTATGTGTATGTGCGTTTGCTCAGTTGTGTACATATTGTGATCAACAGTGATGGTGTTTGGGGGCAGATATAAACAGCTCCAAATGAAATGAATGACTGCTGCACAGTCCTGCCATTTCTGTTATATCACAACCCTTCCCCATCTGCTCTCATTTTTATAACCGTTCAGTCTATCCTGCCTCTCCTCCATCATCCTCTCTGTCAAGCCGCTTTTCTCTTCCAATCTCTTTTGCCTAGTATATTGTTTTTTAGCTTTACTTTACATTTTCACTTTTCCACAATATGCACTTCATAACTGTTTTTAAAGCTTAACTGAGTCATTTTTGCACAACTATAGCATCACCAAATTCAGTCAGTAGTTAGGATGATGCAACAAGGACAAGTTATTTTAAAATATACTTACGTAATATTTGTCATCATCCTCGTTGTACGCCAACTTGACAACACCATATGAGCCCTTTAAGACAGAAGAAATGGATAGAAAAACAAAATACACAGAGTAAAATGAGTCCGATTATGAGACTGTGTTATGGGTCAGTAAGGGTCAGTGTCTGAATGCCTGAATGACTGCTTTGAAACACAACATGGCCATTAGATTTTTCTGATGTCTATATGCATGTCGACTATCGAAATAACGCAATCTAAGTATGATGTAGGTGGGCTTACCTTCCCAATCTCACTCTTTAACTTGTACTGGTTAAGCTGGGTGCAATCCTGAGATTATGAAAAAGGAAGAAAGAAAGAGAGAGAAGAACAGAGACAGAGAGAGAATGGAATCAATCCCAGCTGCACACAAAAAGGATACAATATTAATATATTACACACTAGCTGGAACATGTAAGCCAGTTACAGGAGGAAATAACAAATCTCTGCATTTGTTTCATAACCTATTCTACATGGAAATGATTTAAAAATAATTTTGTGCCCTGGTTGACTATGAAGGCAAATACCACAGTCTCAGTTTCCCATAGCCTAACATTTTACTATTGGCAGAAAGACTAATCCAATGAAAAGGCATTTTAATATTGGTTTTCATTAAAGAAATTTCAATCATCTTTTATTAATTGATATTAAGGTCATTTTACATAATTTAATTCATTAAATATGTAAAATATTTTAAACAATTTTATTCAGAAATAAAATCAAGCCTTACATTCTCATGTAAGTATTTTGAATTTGGGAACAAATGGAGTAAATTCATGAAAAGAAAAATAAAAACATTTTCAGTTTTTCTGGATTTCATCATTGACTTCTGTTTTTAATAAGCCATAATTTTATTGTGCCCATGAGATGATGCCATGTCTGTATCAACTGCTGCAATGATTGTATTTTCTAAGTCTGAAGATTTATCCAGAGCTAAGACATTTGCATAAATCCATCTGATTGGTTAAGATACCTTTAGGCAATCAGCCTAGAGTAATCAATTTCTGAAGTAACAGCATTATCTCCAACATTCATGAAATTATGACAGAACTTCTCCAAAACCATGGTCAGTACAAGACCACATTATTAAAGAAGAAAATGCATCTTGAAAAAAAAGAAAGATCTGTGAATCAGCTGGCAAGTGCAAAAAGACTCATATGTATCCAAATTGGCAAAGCAATAACTATATCTGGATCAGCAACCTCGGAGTACTGCAAACTTTTCTCTGCAGCAGGGAACATTACTACTGCAAACAATTCTGCCCTAATGGACTCTTTTCACAAGACTGTGAATGTTCTTTGAATGTTCATCTGCATCATAAATTAGTACATTTACAACACTATTCTTTGTATTATATCCCCTTTGCATCAAATTACAAAAAAACTGTTAACGCTAATGCGAGGGTGTTTCTAATGCAGCGTCTATGGGAGGGACGGTAAATTTGACATCGTTCTCTCTTCTGACAGTCATTATAAATTTGTTTTCCTTTTATTGAAAGTCACGAAAACACTATTGTGGAGTTTTTCTTTTGCTATTTGAGCAATGAATGCAAAAAATATATTTGTGGTACTCGGCCATTCACTGCTCTTCAACTTAACCCAACTATGACGACTTCCGCTGCTGAGAAACCCGGAAATGTGAAAAGGGTCCATAACAGAAATGCGACAATCCTAGCTTTCTAGTAGCTGGAATGCACTGTAAATCTTGTAGCATTATAAAGAAGATAAAAAGAGACCTTTATGTTTACTTTAAAAGCATTACATTTGAAAATGTGAAACATTTAATTTGAAAAATGAAAACATCAACAAACTGCCATTTTCTTTAGATTCATTATGTGTTGTGCTGTACTGAAAAAATGTGGTTTTAAAACTGAGGTATATAACAAAAGATGGATTTACAGTGCAGTTACATCCCTGCTCAACATCATTTCAGAACTTGCACACATATTAAAACAAAGATTCTGAGAAACAGGAAGAAAGACTATAGTGGTAACAGCAAAAATCAGAGGAAGTTAAGAGAGGAAGAACCTCACTGGAGGAGGAATCTCGCTGAGAATGCACTGACAGATGAGGATACATATACACAAATTTCTGATTACAGTACAGTTTGACTTTTTTAGTTTATTTACAGATAATGGTGAAATGAGAAGAACAAAAAATAAACTAAAGATGGAGGGGTAGAGAGAGAAAGAGAGCGAGAGGGCAGAAGAGAGGGACACTGGACTCTTGGCTGAGTCCAGACTATTACTGGCACAAGCTCAGTGAGCCCTGCATTGCAGTAAACCCACACCTGCACTCACACGCATACGCACACGCACACGCACACGCACACGCACACGCACACGCACACGCACACACAGACACACGCACGCACGCACACACACACACACACACAGATGGTCAAAACTTACCAAGAACAATAGCTTAAAAATGATTATAGATGGACTAGAAATAGCTAGTTTAGACAGAACCTTAAATTTGTTCAGAAGTCAAAATCAAATCTGTCTAAATCTGTGTTAGTGAGCACTTCTCCTTTGCCGAGATAATCCATCCACCTCACAGGTGTGGCATATCAAGATGCTGATTAGACAGCATGATTATTGCACAGGTGGGCCTTTGGTTTGCCACAATAAAAGGCCACTCTAAAATGTGCAGTTTTATGACACAGCACAATGCCACAGATGTCGCAAGCTTTGCCACAGGCCACAATCAACAACCTGATCAACTCTATGTGAAGGAGATGTGTTGCACTGCGTGAGGCAAATGGTGGTCACACCAGATACTGACTGGTTTTCGGACCCCCCAATACAGTAAAACTGCACATTTTAGAGTGGCCTTTTATTGTGGCCAGCCTAAGGCACACCTGTGCAATAATCATGCTGTCTAATCAGCATCTTGATATGCCACACCTGTGAGGTGGATGGATTATCTCGGCAAAGGAGAAGTGCTCACTAACACAGATTTAGACAGATTTGTGAACAATATTTGAGAGAAATAGGCCTTTTGTGTACATAGAAAAGGTCTTAGATCTTTGAGTTCAGCTCATGAAAAATGGGGGAAAAAACAAAAGCGTTGCGTTTATAATTTTGTTCAGTGTATAATTAAATATATAATATCAGCTGATAATATCTATCCATTTTTTTTATCTCTAATATTGACCAGTAACCAATCTGGAACCAATATACTACTGTACATTCCTAATTAAAATTAATATTATTCACATTATTCATCATGTTATTCATTCATATCATTCATCAATTATTCATATTGTCATGGCTTAGACAGTAAAGAACAATAGAGCCTTTACTTGAAGCTAATTACATAAATATTTCATAGTAGTCTACACTTTCCTATCCATAAATGTTTCATAATCATTTGTCTCACAGGCTCTACAAAATCATTTTGAACCATATTTACTTTCACATCAATTAAATGAAGAAGAGAGCAAAAATATCTACACATTGCCCCATAATGAGGTCTAGTGACATGTTTTATTTTGCAGGATGCTTAGTTTCTTCTCTATGTTGTGAGGATAACTTGTGGGCTCTGAGGAAAAATCAGCCACAACTTTAAAACAGATATGCCTAAAAACGGAATTGCTTTTCCTGTCCATGGACAACAGCAAGTTTTCTAGGCTGGTAATGTTATTGTGTAGCTCCTACCATCAGGTAACGCTTCAATGAGATTTCACAGTTATAAACTACAGGGCACATGTCACTCTACATATGAAGGTCTCACAGAGTCAGATCACATCTGAGCCCTGTCACAACAAATAAACGCCACGTCTACTTCCTGTGAACGCAGAGGAATGCCTCCTAGGGCAATGAGAACTGAAGGATTGCAAAAAGGGAAGACGAATGAAAGAGGAAAAGAGAGGGGAGAACACGAAGAGAGGAAGTTTGAAAGAAAGCGAGCTGAAGTTTTCACAGAGGGAAATAAAATGTTTATGCGTGACAGTGGAGGATTAGCACACAGGCTCAATTTTCACTTTGGTGCTCTTCCAGGTTGGCCCTTTTTTCTTTTAAAACCCGGATTAGACTGGATAATCTTGGGTTTAAGTAAGATACAACCAAATTGTGCATTGAAATGTTGTACTACAATAACATCTGGGATCACATGTGTTTATGGGTAATGCTAGAGGTACAGTGGGCACAAAGTATTTTATAGAAAGGGCAAGAGTTTATTATGGGCAAAGGTGAGTGAAGGGAAAAAGTACACTAGAACAAAACTGAAAAGGGCAAAAGGAAAAAAGAAACAGAGACAGAGAAAGAGCAAAAGCACAGAGAGTGTAGGCAAAAGCGAGGGAGGAAGAGAAACATCCAGTGATGTGAAATCTGACAGTCAATTACTTTGACTACTCCATGTTCCTTAACCAAAACAGCCTCACATTACTGCTCACACTTCAGCTGGAGTGTCAAGGCAGAGAGGAGTGTGTGCATGACAGCTGTCTGAAGTGTGAGGGAAAAAAACGATAGTCCTGCATTACCGTAGTCTGTGGGGTATTTTGAGCTGAAACTTCACAGACACATTCTGGGAACACCCAAGACCAATATTACATCTTATAAAAAGGGGCATAATAGGTGCCCTTTAAATTGTAATAATATTTCACAGTATTACTGTTTTTACTGTATTTTTGATCAAAGTAATTCAGACATGCTGAGTATTAGAGACTTCTTTCAAAAACACTTAAAAAATCGTACAGACAACAACTTTTTGAACGGTAGTGTACAATTCATCTTTTATCGCTTATAATGATTTCTACATGAAAATGTTCCTACACAGGTTTTTTTATGTACAAATATGACCATAGTTAGCGAATGAGATGCAATGCGATATTTCCTCAAGATGCTGCATCCAATGAATGAAACAATACATTAAAACTAATTAAACCTAACATTATAAAGAATAATTTTCCCTGCAGAACAACAACAGTAAATCAATGTAAAGCTCTTCTCCACAGCTCTTTCCACCAGTGATAACCATCTCACAGGCAGTAACGTAAATCATGGCAGAACATGTGAGAATGTGGGAAAGATACACTGCGCTCCTCTAATCTCCGCTTTATGAGGCTTCCTTTAACTACCAGTGATCACATCAGAGCCTGCAGCCGTTTCTGCCACTAAAACAAACAGTACAGAGATATTAGAGAATAACAATAAGATCCTTAGAAAAGATTGAGGAATGTTTGATTTCTTCATATTTCATAAGAATATATGTGCTCAAGTGTCCATTACACACTTTTTATTTATAATAAAGATGTAAATAGAGTAAGTTTGTGAAAAATAATGATTT